TCGGCTGCGGCCTTTCTGCGTGGAGTTGCGTGTTTTCCCCATGCATGCGTGGGTTTCCTCCGGGTACTCTGGTTTCCCCCACAGATCACAACATGCCCTATAGGTTATAAATTGTAAGTCGCTTTGGATAAAAGCATCTGCCAAATGAATAAACAAACATAAATTAGTCGGAAACTGATAAAGAACTGGATTGATGGACAGAATTGACAATGGCATTGCTTTTGATAAAAACTTATCAATTCCCACCTCTACTGCGCATGGTGTTGATTTAATCAAAGAGGCCTAAAAGAGTAAATATTTATGGAATAAGTACCTATCGTCTCTTATTTCTCTGCTGAACTTTCATTGTGGACAGTGATGTATTTGGTGACCTCTCCTGATGAATTGCCTTCATAAACGTGGTGCAAGAATTAATCATTTCTAAAATCCAGCGTTATTAGTAATAATCTTGTACTTGATGTAACCAAAGAAGTTTTGTTTTACTCATTCGTGAATTACGATGTGTCAATTGTTGAGGCTTTTGCAACAAAATCCAATGAGTTATTAAGCATTTAGTCAGAACCAGAGTCTAACGCCCTGCCGGCACACCTAAAACATGTAAAAACTAGTGCGAGTCAAGGAGAAAAGCAAAACCACAAAAGAAAGACCAGAAGTAAGCACGAAAACACAAACTACAGATGGATCAATGTTGCCAATATGATATTAAAATTAGTTATATAGATACTAAGAATTAACCCTGATGAACCTTGGGAGCACAAAGCAATATGGAACACCTAGTCACGAAAACTACCATGATGAAAGCTGCATCATCAAACATAGTCATACATGACATGTTTGTTATTTTAAGCCACCAAACTTGACATTTCTTGTTTTATTAAGTTTTATTTGAAGCAAATGATGTATAAAATCCCATTAAAGTTAAATACCTTAGTGAAATATCTGAAATGTTACCTCTGGTAAGGTCAGGACCATGGAAAAAAATTCAAATCTAGGCTGATGAAGTACAAAAGAATGATAAAGCTGCTATCTACACCATCTTCATCCTGACTCCAACTGTTCCTCTTGTTGTCGTTATGAATGACACGATTGTATCTGTGTTGGTGACTCTCTCTTACTGTGTAACGGCATCATGTGATGAGTTACTCTCACCTCACTGAGTGACGGCGAGATATGAGTCTCATTCATTTTGTTCTATGATTGCAGATGCATCCTCGGGGGGGGGGGGGGGGGGGGGGTCGGTGTGTGTGTGTGTGTGTGTGTGTGTGTGTGTGTGTGTGTGTGTGTGTGTGTGTGTGTGTGTGTGTGTGTGTGTGTGTGTGTGTGTGTGTGTAAATGTGGCGGTTCTGCAAGACTGACAACTGGATGGTCCAATAGTTGCTTCAAGTACAAAAGGTGTTACTGTTGGACGTTTCGAGACAAATGCAGGAGAACCACTTTATTTTTTTTCAATCTCCACAATATATTTATAGTAGGGCTGAACGATTAATTGCATAGGCAATTAAATTGTGATGTGACAAAAGGAAATTTTCTAATCGCAAAGGCTGCGATTTGACTGGCAGCGAGTGGTTAGCACAATGCTAATATACATGGAAAACCCTAAGAGATACTCATGCTAATACTGCTGATTACATTCTTACAAGTTACGAATTAGGATGCCAAATGATTACATTTAGAGTCTAATAAAAACTAAAAACTGCCATCAATCAAATAAATACAGACAGATATTTAAAGCTAGAAAACCGTAAGAGACTTTAACTCCACTGAGTTTTGGCTAGCAGCTATGGATGTAACTGAACTACGAAAGCTCTGCATGGACAAGGCATCGAAAACTAAACACAAAAGACTTCAATAAATGGAACACACTTCTTTCCTGCAAAAAAATGTTCACAGTTGATGCTAATACCTATGCTCCTTCAAGGGATATGCTCCAGGCTGCGAAGCACTGCACCTTCAAATACAAAATTTTGTCTTTGATTGTGAGTGTTTATGTATATGTAGACAAATAAGTGTGTTGATATGATATGAAGATAAATATGTAGATAAATAAACTTGTTTATATTCAGTACAAGTTGCATTGATTTTTTTTTTTTGCTTCCGTTAGTTGAAAAATATGAGAAAAGCCCCTTGAAAATTAATCGTGAATTAAATCGCAATTGCAATATTGAAGGAAAAAATTGCAATTAGATTACTTTCCAGAATTGTTGGAGAAATTGTTCCAGAAATACGTCATCATTTTTAAATTAGTCCCGGTAATACCGTACACTGGGGTAAAATGTGGAGAAAGCTCAAGCCAAGCCTAATGTGATAAGTATTGTTGTTTGTTTACTGATTAGTTAAAGAGAGATCAACCTTGACAGATGACACAGCTCTTTTATGGACATCTTGAAGCCTTACGCAATTTAGACACTGTGCACCAATAAGTCCCAAGTTTTATGATGATTGGCAACCTGGAGTCCCAGTGAAACTCTTCCTAAAATTGAAATAAGCTGGGAAATTGTTCATCACATAATCCGGACACTAAGGATGCATTAAACCTAAAACCAGAAGATATTAACTTACACCTTCTAACCTACTGCTCATCTTTTCCTCCCAACAGCCTAAAACCTACATCGCACAATCAATCCTGCAGCTGAAAAAACAAGCCACTTCCTGGATATCATCTCAATCTACCAGCAGCAATTTTTTTTCCATAATGTGCTCTCCTCCCCTGATCTAGAGAGCATGCCGCATTTCATGAAAATGCAGCGTACAGTAGCCGTCAGAATAAAAGCAGACAGCTGGAAACGAGCACAACTGGCCACCTGCACGTTATTTTCCCCAAGAGATATCAGACTTCTCCCTCGTTCAGTATAGTAACTTTAATACATTAGCAGCAATCCATTAAGAATTATTAATATTAACGATTCACATTGAGAGGCTATGACAAATGTGGCAGGCTTCAACTTGTTTGTGTTTATGTAGACAAGTGTGATCACTTTTCTCTGTTAACCCATAATAAAGACATTAAAGAACCAAACTTCAAGAATGTTTTTTGTGACAAAGAAGTATCTGTTCCAATCACTCTATCAGAGAAAAATCAGAGTTTTAGAAATAACGGGACACTCAGAGCCATTATATTATATTTTTTACAAGTGTATGTAAACCTCTGACCACAACTGTATATTTGTTAAATTAAATATTTAAGTGAGTTACTACCCGCTAGCCACCGAAGCTGCAACTAATTAGCAGCTAACCAACCATAGATAACTTCTTTGGATTAAAAAAAACATTTTAAATTAGTTGTCTTACTTTTAAACTTGAAAATTTGCCCCCGAAGTAGCTGCCGGCTTCCTCCGTCCTTGTGAAAATACTGCGGTGTATTGTGGGTAATTTGACCAAGGCTAGGCTACAAGACACCTCCCGTGTACCCTTGCTCAGCGAGCTAAACGGCTGACAAACGGAGAACACACGCCTCGGTAGAACATGAACATTGGAACACATCTTGGCGGCTCCCGATGACGTATCTCCTAGGCAACTGAGGTGGGGCCAAGACATCAAGGCAAGGTTCCTTGGCATTGGGAAACACCCTTAGACCCGGTCCCCTGTATTTTAGACCCAATTTTTTTGATTATATGTTACAAAGCCGCCAATACTTTTCAACAACTGGGCATCATTTAATTCATTTTTAACTAAATTTAAATTGATATTTCCAGAGATTAACGGTAAAAACTACACATCATCTCTTTAAACAATTATGTACAGTAAATACTTTTCAGTGTAATTAGATTTCATAACAGAATAACTTTAACTTTGTTCATCAGCACCCAAAGATGAGTGTGTAATTAATCCCAACGTTGACTTTTGGTTAACAATGTTCCATGAGCACCAGAGGGGTCATGGGAAGACTAAAGATCCCTTCCTGTGGTCAAAATGGTCAGATGTTAAGGGTCAAGAGAAGCAGCCGCACCAGTGTCTCTAAAATGATCTAAAATTTATATTTTTAAATAGAACTGCAAGAGCACCGAATTATTCTGTCTGCCTTTCACATATCAGAATTCCCTGCTGTAATCTGCAGGCACAGCTAACTGCAGCAGCTCTGGAGGACCATTTTTGCTCTGGATTACTGTCATGCCCCAAATTACAGTAATCCAGCCCCATCCACTTCACCTAGAAAAAGGTCAGATTTGATCACACTCTTGCATGCCCATTAACTAGAACAATTTCCATATGAGACAGGACAGGTGACAAAACTGACTGCTCCATTTAATGAGGTTTTGCAAAAAGTAAACCGTGTCTATTCTTAATAATAATAATAACAATAATAATAATACACAAGTTTATTCTCCTGCATTTTAGCAATCAGAATTTGAAATAGCATTTTGTGCTAACTGAGTGTGACAGCTGAGTGTGGCTGTAGATTTTATTTGTTGCTCAGTGGCTGGAGGCTGTGAGAGGAGAACAGTGAGCTGCATTGTCAGACGAGGGTGGTTCAATGACCCATACACATAAACCAGTCTCTGTCTTTAAGAAGGGTGGCTTTCCCTCAGAAATGTGCAAATGCTAAGCATCAATACCTACATGACACTTAAACAAGACTTCCAAAGCCACTTTTCTTATTTTTCATTCATGTATTTTTGAAAAGAAAAAAAAAGACCCGAGTGAACCACTGGTGGTGACAATAAACCCTCTATAAAGCTTTGAAATAATCTAAAATGCATGCAACTTAACCACACGCTTGCAAACAGCCCATTGTACTACTTCGGTGTCGGTTTTGGTGCTGTTTATGTTTGGTATCTGTGTGGACAGCTGTACGGCGGAGGAAAGCGCTCCTAGCCGGACGATAGGTGATTGTTCTCGGCTGCTAATTCACTCCTCCTCCCCCCGTGTGTCTGGAGCTCCGTGCGTCCGTCCATTGTGGTCTCTCAAACATCAGAACTCCAGAAAAACAATAAAAACAAAAAGCTGTTCCTAAAACATTAAACACAAGCCCCAAATCTGGAGAACTAAAACAGCTTTCTTACCTCGACGCGGAATGATGTGCAGCCCTTGAGAAACTCCTTTATGTTGCTCAGGCACTCGCCGTCATTCTTCGGTTCTGGGTAAATCTGGAAAGACGCAAACGCTAATTAGCGATTAAAACCCCCTCTTCATCGCTTTTCGATGTGTTTCTACATGTAAAGTCTTTTAAAGAGTCTCTTCTTCCTCGACACGCATTGTGAGATTGTGACCGTGTGCGTACTGGGCCCTCCTGGAGGCTGAACACAAACCAGGATCAGACCGAGGCGAGGAAATGACGTGACCACCAGGGAAAGGATGTTGTTCATTCTCCCCGGCTCTTTTCCTGCAGGACTTTCATTTTAAAATTAAGTAAAATGCCTTCATTTTCAATATTTGCTCGAAAAATATCATGCTAAGAAATGTAAACGCTGCTGAACAGGGGCGCTTCCAGGAAGTTTATCAATGGCTTCCCAGATGGGGAATGTGGGGAGGAATATCTTGGGGTGGCAACATAAAACAATATTTTAGGTGGGCTAATTGTGTGACAGCATATTATTGCCACTGGGAAAATTCAAGAAATTTGAAGAAAAATAAGTTGAAAATTTGCGATTCCAAGAAAAGAAAAGAACAGAAAAAAGACAGTGAATCATATTGTAATTCTGTATTCTGACTGTATTTATCTAATGTTTTCCTTTTTATTCTGACATATAATTCTGGGTGATTCTACTGAGGGAACAGAAGTGCAGTTTTGTTTCTTGTCTGCAGCAACATCCACGGTACAGCTCAAAGAACTTCCTTTCATCCTTCACAATAAAAGTCTCAAATACAAATCCACACATCAAATCATCTGAAACACCGAAATATAGTTTGTTAATATTGTTCTCGGGAAAGGCTCAAACAAAAGTTTGAAGATGTTTCGAGGGATGTGTTTGTGTGTGCGTTTGAGACTCTTAATGTGAAAGGTTGAAGTAGGAATTTTTGAGTGCTGAAGCAGATGCCACCATGTAAAAATCTATCTGGCATTTATGTAAAATTTCAAAATTTTTAGAAAACGTGCACCCATAACTCTCAGTTTTGATAATATAAAACCCAGGGTAGAGTTGAGTTCAGACGATCAACAGGTTTCAAATGCAGTGCTCAGCATAAATGAGTACACCCCACTACATTTGTCAAAAAACCTGTAGTAGTTTCCTTTAAGAATCAACATTTTCTATGAGATACCATACTAAAGAATACTCCCACAAATGTGGGCCATTTATTGTAAACAAGATTTGTTAATTTGCACACACAAAAATCTGATTTCCCTAACAAATCCATTCAAGCCCTTACTGCAAAAATGAGTGCACCCCAATTATAGTCTTAGGAGAAAAGCCACACTTAAGACTACACAATTCGAATAAACAGGCATTCAACCATATTAGTCTAATGATTCATTTCAGAGATGTCCAGAAAATAGATGACTATAAAAGGCCAATAACAAGGAAAAATGGCCTGTGTTTGATATAGCACCTTCTAGAGTCCTGGAACCCCCCAAGGCACTTTACAACACAATCAGTCATTCACACACATTCACATCCTGGTGGTGATGAGCTACATTGTAGCTACAGCTGCCCTGGTGCACACTGACAGAGGTGAGTCTGCCGTACACAGGCGCCACCGGTCCCTCCGGCCACCACCAGCAGACAAGGCGGGTTAAGAGTCTTGCCCAAGGACACAACGACAGACTGAGTCTGTGCAGCAGTTCATGAACCAAAGAAAATAGAACCAATGAGATTCAGATCATGAATAAGGAAAGCCATATTGCTGATAGTAATAGAAGCAAGCTGATCACCAGCTTTTCAATGTTATTGTTGTATCCCCTCATTGTACATAAGGTTCTATTGTTATACTGATATTTAGGTCAAAGCTATGACTAATGACTGTATTGATCCATAATAAAACTGACAAAGTATCTCTAATGTCTGTTTTTAGATAGGTGAGGCCAGTTTACACATACCACACCAGTCCACCACCACAAACAAGCATTCACACATATGAACCTGCATCTTTCGGGCCCCTGGGAGGAAACCAAAGTGAGAATTCATGAACGTGCAGACTTCTGCAGGTCACAGCTGAGATTTTAACCTGTGGCCTTCTTACTTTGAGACAAAAGTGCTACCCACTGCCCTTTATAGCTACACGCCAATGGTCTTTACTGAAATCTATAATTTCTAACGTAAAAAACTAAATTTTGAAAAATATATCTAGACCTGTACAAATGTGACGTATAAAAAAAATACAAAATCAGGGAAAAAAAGAATTGCTGCATAAGTAAGAAGAAATGCAACCACATATATAGCTCAGACATTTAAATATTACATTTCAGAAATTATTTAAAAAATAAAACAAATGCCATCTCATCCAAAATATGTTTTTGTTAATGAATCTTTTATCCAACAATAATTTATCTCATGTGCAAACTATTGGAAAGCATGTCATGGTCTGTGTCTGCGTCTCACCTCATGTGTCTCTTTTTGTCCTCATTCGTCTCTAGGTGCTCCTTTTGTGTCTTCTAGCGCCCTCATGTGTCTCCTGGTATTCCCCATTTGCCCTCTAGGTTTCCCCCCTCAGACTTCCCTCCCCCAGGTCCTGTGCTCTCTTGGCCCCCTCTTAGCCACACCCCTGTAGTTTCTTTCTGTAGTGTTTTCCTTTAGTGCCAGCTTCCCCTTAGAATATTAGTTATGGCTCATGCCTTCTGGTCTTTTGTTTTTCTCTTAGGTCATTTTCCTTTGTTACAGCCTTTCATTATTTAGTGTTTTTTCCCCACCAGCGTTTCCTTCTTCCTCCCTGAGTTAGTAATTGTGTTCACCTGGTCCCTCTCCCCACACACCTGCATCTCCCTCTCATCTTCCCAGTCTATATAAGCACTGTCTTGTCTCTGTGTGGTTGTCGGTCCATTGTATTGTTGTCAGCGTTGTTACTCGCGCTCCGTGTGAGCTTTATGTCTCCAGGTTTTTGGTGCTCTAAGTGAGCTTTAGGTGTCCTGTGTTCCAGGACTTTTGAATTTTTGACTTTGTGCTCTAAAGTGAGCTTTGGGTGTCCTGTGCTCCAGGACTTTTGGACTTTGGCTCGCTGCCTTGGATTAATTTTTGTTCTTTCAATCTGCAAATAAAATGATCTTTACTTTGAATCAACTTCTGCCTCTTGTCGTCTGGGTAATCTGCATATTTGGGTCCTAAACATCCCCACAACGTGACAGAGGAGCCATGCTGCAGAAAACGTTAGAAATCACCTTCCATGTTTCACAGAGACGCAGCATGCTTTTTTTTAAACATTGCTTCCTTCAGGTCTGACGGTGTTCACTCACTAATACAAACACTGCACTGTTTCTTTAAAAGGGAGAGGGGTCCGTCTCTGTGTGTGTGTGAATCTCAGATGGTGAGCTGTCGATGTCGACAAATCTGATGTAGAAATAGCCTCTCATCCCTCTAGGCCCATAATGACATGTAAAACATGGATTAAATGGGCTTTATATGCATAGCTTCAGAAGTAAAAACAGGTCTCGGCGTTTACATCTGCACTGGAAGCATAAAAATCGAGGCCTTCATTGTAAAAAAAAAGCACATAAAGGGTTGTTTAACCGTTTAGATTAATTAGATATATCTGCAGCCTTATTTTGGAGATCATCAGAAAAAATGGGGGGTTCGTTTTTACGCACATATATGTGCAAGCACATTGACGTTACGGGAGACAATAACAAGCTGCCGTGACCTACAAAAGAAATTGTATCATGGATCAGTGGACAAAAAGAGAGGCCGGACAACGAACCGCGTCGGTGCCGGAGAACGCACAGACGCGCCGACGGACGGTCGATGCAAAGGGGAGCTGGAGAGAGAGGATCTATCATGCCCTTACTTTCTCCGTGGAGCCCGGGCTGAGCCGCTCCAGCAATCTGCACAGGACCACGCCATCCTTCAGGGAGCTCTGCAGGAAAGCTTCAGGATCTGAAATGGTCTTCTTCGGTGATTCCAGCACCCCGAGCGTGATCAACCATGTCACCGTCTGTTCCGCCGAATTCATGTCCAGGCCCTTGTCAACAAAGAGGCTGCGGTGTTGGATGTCTTTGAACAGCGTGCCGCCCTGTTTATGCTGTCATCTGTGGGAGATAAACATCAGTAATCCCACAAAAACAAAAAAGATGCAGTGAGACAGAGAGAGGGGTAAAGCAAGAGACTGCGGGAACCCCCTCTCTCTCTAAAGATATAAATAAATATTCATATACCTCGGTTGGATGCTGAGGAGATCGGTTTGATTTCGGTAAATCTCCCTTCTTTGATGTTCTGTTTCTACTCCGTCTAACCTGGAAACCTGTAAAGTGCGTCTCACGGTGATGCGCTTTGGCAGCGGACTGCATACATGCGCAGCACAGCAGCCAGACGCTCTCATCTGTTGGATGACATCACAGCAGAGGGACAAGCCAGACCAACCAGTTGTTGGACCCCATTAGCTGGTCATGAATAGGCTTTCACTGCATATGTGCGGCTTTGCATATCCGTTTATTTTAACCGCCACCGGCTCTCTCTCTCTCTCTCTCTTCATTCAAAAGAGGAAGCTGCAGCAGAAGCAGGTCATCATCCACACAACAGGGATGTTTTGCTGAAAATCTTACAAAAACTAAAGAAGCTACACGACAACAGCTCAATTTTTAGATTGGATTTAAATTTAAATGTCAACCTCTATCTCCTATAAGACATTCGCTTTTATTTTTATCAGACTAAATTGACAATTCAGCAAAAATGTTTAGTTTAATTTGCAATAGCATTCATATTCTACCATTAAAATGTAATTTTATATATTTTGGATTGTTTTTTTAGTTTGTTTGGCTCAACTTGTGAAGTAGAAATTTGCCCTGCGTGATGGACATATTCTCACAGCATGTATAGATGTGTACAAACAAGAATCCATTGCTGTAATTCACCGAAAAAGAAATAAATACCTTACTAACTACACTAGTCTTCACATCATGCTAGGGAGAATGAGATTTAGCTGATGGAGACAAAATAAATAAGGCACTTCTAACTTCAATTGAAGTAGTTGTCATTTTTCACAAATGATGATATGTGATTTCAGTTACCTAAAATGTTTTAGTTTTCCTTTTGTGTGAGGGGCATACAGCACATATCGATATCGTTTTATATCGGAATAGCGTGGACAATATCGGTATATCGGTAAAAAAAAAAGCCACACTCGAGCATATAGTTAGACGCTGAAAAAACATGTAATCTGTTTGATTTTTCTTACAAAGATCCAATAAATCCCCAAAGAACTAAATTTAACTCAAATGTTTTGATAAGGTTTCCTGTGTGAAGAGACGTGAAGTTAGTTAGTACCCAGATGTGGAACAACCACATTCTCCCAGTATCAAAACAATAGTGGTGATGATGGCCTAGGAGGGACAGTCTGGAGCCATTCGATGGGGCTGGTAACTGCTGATAACAACCATTTAATAGAATGATAACATTTGAAGCGGGTGGTTTGTTAAACAAGCTGCTAAACAATCATTTATTGTATTTACCAACAAATCAACACGAGGATTCCTTGAGAGGATCTTTGACAGAATCCGGCATTATTTAGAAGATCAACCAGTTTGCTCCACGGGAAGCTGGGAAGAACGCAACAACATCTTAAAGAGCATTTGTGTGAAGTTTTTCTTGCCAGAACATCTGCTGATGTCTTTGTGACAAAGAGACACATCTGGTCAGGACGTAATTATGCAATGTTTCAAGCAACACCTCTTGGAACCTGAGAAGGAGCCTTCCATCCCTTTAAAGCTTTAAACCTGCAAATAAAAGCACAAAAATATTTAATATACTTTACCAAGCTCCCCAACTGAAGGAGCAGAGGATCAATAGTTTCAGTGCTAGGGTTAGATTAACGATAATAAGTTAATGCAGTCAACCAAAACACCGAGATGCCAGGTGCCTCTCAATTTGTGCGGATTCTTGTTTACTGAGTCACTTCACTCATTGTCCACAAGATGGGGCTCTTCCTCTGCTGTGATCTGCTTTAATGTTTTGGTGGATGCTGACCGCTTATAAACACATGAAACGTAAAGCTTCTATAACATGTTTATAAGAGAGTCAGCTGTGACCCAAAAATAGATCCAATAAAAACTTTAGCTAAGTTGATCGTTTTAAGCATATACATGAATATGTTTTTATTTAGTTTGTTTTGGGACTTTTATTTAAAACTAGAAAGGTGCGATAAACTTTCATAATGAGTAACAAGCCTTTAGGAACAGATGGTCCATCAAAAAGTGTAATCATGTTGTCATTTTCATTTTTGACCTGCAGAAATCTAGGATCCCAACTGGATCTCCATGGTAACCGAATCAAGCAGCAGGTTCAGGCAGCTCACATCATCTCTTGTCGCTTCTCTTCATATCCCTGTCTATGGTTTCATCAGAGGGAAGGAAGCGTGTGTGTTGTCAGGAAGCCTGACTCCTGAGGCTTGCAGTGTTCCAAACATGCTGCGTCAAGGGATGCTGCTGGGCCTATGAGGTCCTGTCTCCATGTCTTTGTAACCATGGGTGCTACTGTGGCTGTGGAAGTTGGCTCTAGGCATTTCATACATTTCCAGTCCCACCTCGACAGTTACGACTCTGCTCGATTAAAAAAAACTGTTTTGTGAGTCTGATAAGAAAATCTTAGAGTAAATTGTTTCCAAAACTTGAGGACACAAGCTTGGAGAACAGGATGTAGCATCTTCTACATTCTGCAAATTAAGAGTCTTTTTTTTTAATACAAACATTCACAGATTCCTGTCTGTGAGTCCATGCTCTGACAGCTGCCAAACACAAGAAAAATAAGGAGGGGAAGATGGGCTCTCTGAGGCATGCAGCCTTATTGATTAAAGCGCTCCCATTCTCAGCATTCGAAGAGAACATCGTGTAATAGACACGGGAATTTGACTCATGGAGACAGCTCATATTTTAGTCTGCACAACCCAGAGCCACTTCACAGGACAGAAGCATTAAGCAGAATAATTGATGGAGCAGCCAAGTTTACAGTGACAAAACATCAAAAAGAGAGATGACCAGACCTACATTTTCTAAAGAGGGGATGCAACTAACAGAGAGAAACAACGATCTGTCATTTTGCACGCATTTTATGCACTTGTTGACCCTAACTATGTGTTTTGTGGATTTGGAAAAGGCGTTCAATCGTGTCCCTCTTGGAGTCCTGTGGGGGGTACTCTGAGAGTATGGGGACCAGAATCCTTGTTGGGTCCCTGGATGACCGGTGTTCGAGCTTGCATTGACGGCAGTAAGGCTCATTCCTGGTGATAGTTGGACTTCTCCAACGCGGCCCTTTGTCACCGATTTTGTTCATAACTTTATGGACAGGATTTCTAGGCGCAGCCAAGGTGCTGAGGTGGTCCGCTCTGGTGTCCTAAGGATCGAGTCTCTACTTTTTGCAGATGATGTGATCCTGTTGGCTTCCTCAGAACGTTATCTATAGCTTTCGCTGGGGCGGTTTGCAGCCGAATGTGAAGCATCTGGGGTGAAAATCAACTCCTCTAAATCTGAGAACATGGTCTTGAATCGGAAAAGGGTAGAATGCCTTCTCCGGGTCAGGGACGAGGTCTTGCCTCAAGTGGAGGAGTTTAAGGATCTCTGAGTCTTGTTCACAAAATGGTGAATGATAGCAAGAAATCAATGGGCGGATTGGTGCTGTGTCTGCAGTGATGCGGGCGGTGTACTGATCTGTTGTGATGAAGAGAGAGCTGAGCTGGAAAACAAAGCTCTTGATTTCCCAGTCGATCTACGTTCCTACCCTCAACTTTGGTCACGAGCTTTGGGTAGTGACTGAAAGAACAAGATTGTGAATACAAGTGGCCAAAATTAGTTTTCTCCCTCAGAGTATCTGCTCTCCATAGGGTGAGAAGCTTGCTCATCCGAGAGGGGCTTGGAATAGATCCGCCGCTCCGCTACATTGAGAGTAGCCAGTGGAGGTGTCTCGGGCATCTGGTTAGGACTCCCTGATGCAGTTTTCTGGGCATGTCCAACTGGGAGGAGACACAAAGGAAGACCCAGGACACGCTGGAGGGACTATGTCTCTCGCCTGGCCAGGGAATGCCTTAGGATTCCACCAGAGGAGCTGACCTAAGTGGCTGGGCTGGGCCTCCCTGTTTAGGCTGCTGCCCCCATGACCTGACTCCAGATAAGCAGAGGAGAATGGATGGACGTGTTTCTTATTAAGATTTTACTTTACATAAAGTATTTTTCAAGTTGTCAGCTGGTAACTTCTTGGAAATCGCTTTGTTGGTGTTAAAAACCTTTAGTAGAACCGTTTTATGTTCATAAATGAGCTTTCAGAAGAAATATCCAACTAAAGAAATGGGAATAAATTGTAAATCTGCGAGAATAAAGTGTCAAAATGTCTCATTTACCATAGGACATTTGCCTGGATGTTATTTTTGCTGGAAATTATTGCTGCTGCTATGGAGCACTAAATCTTGTTTAATCAGAATGTGAATGATAACCACGCATCTGTGAGTGGCACCGGGAGTCATCAAACACATCATGTCTGGTGTGTGTGTGTGTGTGTGTGTGTGTGTGTGTGTGTGTGTGTGTGTGTGTGTGTGTGTGTGTGTGTGTGTGTGTGTTTGATGTTCCTGTTATTCATTCCAGTTTGATCGCAGCCACTGAGTCGTGATCCCCATGCGTGAGCTGTGTGTGTGTGTGTGTGTGTGTCATCTCTGACGTTACCGGCCCGCCTACATCAGTGTGTGTCCGTCAGTGTGACAGAGAGAGGAGAGAGAGAGAGATTGTGGACCTGCTGCACACACACACACACACATGCACACAGAGAGAGAAGGAGGGCTGGAGCCGGAGGCGCCGCATCCACTAACGGCGCATCCTCCCTGCTATGGACACCGGAGGGTATCACTGAACAGCCAGGAAACATGCCTACCGTCCTCGGTGGCAAAGGGAAACTTTCCATTGTCTGTTTTTTGCTCCGATGCGCATATTCTCAGGTGAGAGGCTACGTGGAATTCAGCTCCGTTAATTAAAAAAATATGGTGGTAATATTATTATTATTATGGGTTGTTGGAAATAGTTTGGGACTTTTAAATCAGTTTGCTGGATTCACTCTTGCAGTAGATTTGTACAAACTTAGAAAGAGTTATCATGAGGGATTTTGTGATACATAAAGCTTGATATGGTATTATTTTAATGCACATTTACAGTGCATTGTGAAACTGAGCTTAATTTGAGTAATCAAAAATACTTTAAGAGTGCAACAGATGTTTATTGATGGCTCCATGCTGCTCTTTGCAGGTGTTTATGATGGGTTGTGGTTTTGTTTGGCCTCTGGAGGCCACACTCATTTGGGTATTGCACCAGGGTTGTAGCCTGTGGTGCTTGTGGGTACGGATGTGTGAAACAAGTTGCATTTGATAATAGTGACACTAACAGTGATGCTAGTGAGTCAAGCCAGAGTTTTACTTGGTGCACAAACCAAAGAAGTTTGTGTTTTAGCTTCACAGGTATGGGGCTCCAACTGGAACACCATACATTTACACCTATTTTTCAGCTTCAAATGATCATAGATTTGAAGTAGATATTTAATATTTGAACTTAATATTTACCTAGATGCTAATTCAGACTTTTTAACAGGAAGTAGCCTTCCAAAATAAAAGCAGTTAGGAAATATCCTGTCTAACATGTCATAATGCCTTTGGAGTGAGTTTATGAGTCCAATCAGCCAAGTGAAGAATGTAGTCTAAAACTGGTGTGTCTATAATAAGATTTAAAATATTTAATTTAACGTTTTATGTTTGTATAAAGTTCCAAACATTAATTTTATAATTAATGTGATAAAACATGATAATAAACATTAAGAGCCAACAGTGACCAAATCTGGCTTTTAAAATGCTAAATGTGGCAAAAATGCAGACATTGCTTAAATATTTTACCATATATTCTGCTCTCTAGATGGGTTTTTAAGCTGCAACAAACAGATTATTTTAATCGATTAAAAATCAGATATCAGTCATGTTCATTTTAAAACACACACTGCTACACACACGTGACTTATCTTCTTAAGATTTAGGAAAGAACATGTTTTATTTTTTGCATATAATAGATCTAAATTATATAACAACTCCATCAAAGTCACACTGGAGTCTGATGCATCCACGAGTAAGAATTTCTGCTGCTTACTGATGCAGCAGAATCATTTGTTTCCATACATGTCAGGTTAACATGAACACATTTTATTAACAGAAACTAAAATAAAAAGTAATTAAAAAGCCCCAGTGACTGTTAGAATGAATGGGTTTGCCTCATGGACTGGAAAATGAAAGGGGCTTGCATCAGAACTGGCATCCGGCTGATCGTCTGCAGCTGTGATTTCTAAGATATGAGTCATGAGTCTTGCACGAGCTTCAAAGTTTCATCAACTCGCACAATTACTGTACGTGTGTGTGTGTGTGTGTGTGTGTGTGTGTGTGTGTGTGTGTGTGTGTGTGTGTGTGTGTGTGTGTGTGTGTGTGTGTGTGTGTGTGTGTGTGTGTGTGTGTGTGTGTGCATGGGTGCTTGCGTGCAAGTGTGTGTGTGTATGTGTGTGTAGCTGTGAGACTTACAGTAAAGTGTTACATTGTGAGAGCACAAAAAAGCCAGGAAGTTGAATGATGGAGGGGTTTTTGAATGTTCATAATGGAAGTTTACCTGGTGAGCAAACCCTAGAAACTAAATTAAATTAATTTGTACAATTATTTGTTGTCTTTTGACTGTATTTTTTGTGCATTTGTGGTATGTTTGTTCATTGTGTATACATTAGGCACAAGACACAGTGTGTGCCTCACGTTAAATTTGCATTTGAAAGTTGCTCTGAACCGTTACCCAAAACGCCGTCAGTCAGAACTTCCTGTGGCGCTTTGCTCTTTTACCTTTGCTTTTTTGCAGGTAACAAGAAGCCAACACAACGGCTGTGCCAAAGATATTTTTGAGGTAAGGATTGGAAGGTTTTTTTAAAGATGTGTCCTTTTCTAATTATTAGCAACCTTCTGACTTCAATGTTTAACTTTTTCTGGTCATTCCTGGTCATTTAAGAATCAATCCATGTGAAAATGAGGAAACCAGCAGATTTCATGCATCATTTCAACAGACTGGGGTTCTTTGGTCTTTGTTAAACATAAATCATGAAACTTTTATTAGTAAATTATTAGATATTTATGTGTTTTACTGGAAAAACAAACAACAGAGTTAATTAAGGGAAAAGTTTGCTGATTCCCTAACAAGTTAATAAGAAAATGTATGACAACATATTCCCTTCATGATAAACATAAACATCCATATCATATCAGATATTTTATTTCTTGCTTACGCCCCTGAGATGTTGCGGGCTGGAGTGAAATAGGAAGCAATAGAGATGCAGGGAACTGGGTGGGAAAAGGGTCAGAGGAAGATAGCAACACACGATGCTCCACCTGGGAGAGCTTGTTGTTGTTGGAGGAGGGAAGAGGTGAGGGCTGGTGCTGTGTCCTTGGTGACTGAGAAAAGAGAGATAATGAAGTGAAAGGACGAGCAGAGCGGGGAAACATTTGCCCTCCAGGGTGCACTGTTGTGGGTGGACGGAGGGGAGGAGGAAGAGAAGATTCAGAGAAATTTGCCAGGTTCACTGACATTTTATGAGAATATTTCAGTGCAGTAGGGGCTCTCACTTCAGAATCCTCTTTTGTGTAAAATAAATTATTTGGCATTTTGGGAAATTCATAATTAAACCATTTAGCAGAAATCCCTATCATGATTGGTTTTTATGGAACAAATGGGTATAGCGAAAGTTTAAAATTCAGTTTTTGTGATAATAATTAAGAATTTTCATGACATTAAATAACATCAAAAGCTTGACATAAAGCATTTCACCTGCCACCTGTCCTAACAAAGACTTGATGGAGTTTGTGACCAAATCTTCCACACAACCTTTTGCCAGATCACAGGTTCTCATGGGTTCCTGTAAGCATAAGAAGGATCACACCTGCAAAAGCATTAATGCTCACATCAAAGTAGGACATTCATGCCCACATTTCACCTTTTTTTATCTTGTTGAATAATAACTGTAGATAGCTACATATTTAGACCAACAGATGCAAGACGGCAGTAAACTTGATTCAAAATACTCTGCAGTTATATCAGAGCAGGAGTTTTATTTTTACATACCTGCTCTTCTCCAAAGCATACAAATAATAATACATTCTCATAAAATTCATCATGTCTACAAAATCATAAATAGCTCTTGGGTGAAGGGTGCAGACCTGCAGATGGGTTTCCAGAACAGAAAACTGTTCATTTCAGTAGGGATCAAATCAGTCCGCCTGCAGCTGCACCAATCAGTTCAGGGCCTGGAAACAAATCGCCTGAAATGACTGGAGACATTTCACTAGAAGCACAAGTAAACTACTTTTGATAAGTTATACTGGATGTGTAGAAAGCAAATTTTAAAATTGTATTCCATTTTTTTTAGTAAGCCAGTCTGTTGCTGTGTTCAGAATAAACACGTGTGCATCCAGGAATCACACGTAAGAGATCTGGAACAAAAATATGAAATTTTGCAGCAGAAAGTGTTTAATTAAGATTGTTTAAGTTGTCGTACTGATCTGATCGATTATTTTATAGGAAGAAAATCTCTTTCTTGTGTTAAATAATGGGTATCACCATTGGGATTAGCAGAATCAGACAGGTTAAGTTAATTTTTCTTTTAAAATTCTCAATTTATGTTAATTGGGCATTTTTGCACAGATTCACATACGTCATATTTTTTGTCCACGTTTGTCCCTTATTTCATGCCATGACTAAATTTCAAGCACAACCATTTAAAACAGACGGGTTAGAAAGACAGAGCGTGAGATCGATAGGTGGATTGGTGCTCAGTGGCGTGTCCAGATCTTTTAAAATGGGGTGACCCAGGTGAGGCACTACTTTGTGCATATGTGGCACCAGTGGTTATGCTTTTTTGTTTTACCTCAAGCCATTTGTGGACAATGAAAAGCCTATTTAAAGGGAATTCAGTGTGGTGACACCTGGGGTGGCCAATCAGATTCCAAGGGTGGCATGTGCTACCCCAGGCCACTCCCTGGACACGCCCCTGTTGGTACTGTGTCTGCAACGATGCGGGTGTTGTATCTATCTGAACCGTGAGGCAAAAGCTCTTGATTTACCAGTCGATTTACGTTCCCACCCTCACCTATGGTCACGAGCTTTGGGTAGTGACCAAAAGAACGAGATCACGGATACAAGCGGCCAAAATGAGCTTTCTCCACAGGGTGTCTGGGCTCTCCCTTAGAATTAGGGTGATCAGTCATCCGGGAGGGGCTCGGAGTAGATCTGCTGCTACTTCACATCTAGAGGAACCATTTCAGGTGGCTCGGGCATTTAGTCAGGATGCCTCCTGGACACCTCCCTGGATAGTAAACCCGTACCGATGTATCTGATTGATCATTAATGCCGCTGTACCAAATAAGCTAAAGTTCAACAAATCTGAAGTTCTGGAGAACAAGTTACATTTTTTACAAATGTCAACGTTGTGTGATGGAAATAATGTACTTTCTTATATGTGCGCTTTGTTCTGAGATATGTGTGATCCATCCAGCCTAGCTGAGAGTCAAGAGAAAATCCTTACGGGTCTCATTTCAGGACCTGAACAAGTGACCTTTGGGGTCACATTAGTCCACATTGTACAGCAAGTACAAGCATCATTGAAGTGTTTCTCTAGTCTTTGATCATTACAATGAAACTAAATGTACCATTATTGTATCATTATGATAACACCCCTGCTCATGAAGCTTTAGTTCAAGCTGTCTAGTCTTTGTGCCCATTTTCTCTGATATCTGCTCTGTTTTAGTTAACAACAGAAAAAAACTCATTCTTGACACTCTTAGTTATCTAAGCTCTTTAATTTTGCATCATCTGTGCATTTTAATCATCATATTTATGAAACAACAAGATTGCTGGTCATTAAAGATACAGTGAGACAACAAGCAAATCATATTAGTTAGGGATGTCTGCTATTATCGGTCTACCGATATTGGCATTAAAATGTAATATTGGAAAATATCAGCGTCGGTTTTCACTCCTTTAGTGACCCAACATTTACATACCATGCACACATTACACATCAAACTCTTCAGCTTCATTTCCTCGCTCCCAAAATATCAAAATATGACAGATCAGAGGGATTTTAGTTTGATTTGGCACAACTTGTGGATAATTGGGAATTTGCTCTGTATAGAGAGGATCTGGTGTCCTAGACTTTGTATCACACAGCTAGAAAACGACTAAAACAAACACCAGAATCTTCACCCGAGGCTTGCTTTTCCTAACTGAAGAGCTGTATAAATGTTTTCTCACCATAATAACTACAATATACAGAAATAGAAAATAATACGTTACTTTCTAACACACACAACTTAGAGTCGCATTTAATATTTAGCCTCGCTAAGCATGTGTATCAGTGTCAGTTTATGTTGAAATTAAGAGTTAGACAGAATTGGATATCAGATTTTGGTTAAAAAAAATACGTCTAAAAGAGCATCCCTAACATTAGTGCATTTCAAGTTTATTTAATATCCATAATTGATGATGATTTTATTTTTATTATAAAATAAATGAAGTTATGTGCAAAATTTAGTCTGAACAATAATTACTGTTTAAAAGTGAGATTATTCTCTGAATGTATCCTGTTGACAAGTCAAAAGAAAATAACTGTGAAGAAACAGTTTCCTGTTTCACTGCATGACTGGACGTGGCTTGCTCTGAATTCAAATGAGCAAAAACAAACAGTTCTAATTTTGTTTATGTATGTAATTTTCCTTTCAGGGGTCTTGTAACTCGAACAGCTGAGATTGAATCTGTTGCATCTTTTACACTCTGAAAACAAGTTTTGTGCTTTAAATCTTTGAAACTGCAGACTCCTCACAGCTGACCCTGTTGTACTGTAATAACTCAATTGATTGCACTAAAAATGCAACATCAGCTTTCTTTTCATGTCACGCTTCGAGCCCACAGAGCTGCACCTGTTCATTTAGTCGTGCTGCAGCTCTAATGAGACGGGAATTTTGTTTTACCACACACTGACTGATCACAACCACTTCAAGCATGTAATTCGCTGCTCAGAGCCTAAACTCGGCTCTGAAGTTAACGTTCTTTTACAAGTCGCACTCTGGCTGTGCAGGGAAGGGCGGAGCTGTTAATGAGAGTCAGATGTCAGACAGATCTCTGTATGTGAAAGGCAGGATACAGAAATGTTAAAGGGAAAACACAAGATACTGGTATAATCAGAGGGATTTCAATCATATCATGACCTTTAACCCCGGTTCCCTTTCTGTCACACAGGACATGACTCAGTCCTGGCCATCCCAGCAGGCGTTAGTGGGTGACCAGCAAATCTTCTACAACTCCAAGGTGTGTTTACCTGTTGTTTGTTCTTAATTCAGTGATTATGTCACATTTGCTCTAGGTCAGTGGTTCCCAAACTTATTTAGCCGCGCACCCCCTTCTATGTCCCAACCATGACGACGCACCCCCCAGCCCCCACATCAGGGCATGGCTATATATATATATATCTATATATATATATAGATATATATATAGATATAGATATAGATATAGATATATATATATATATATATCGATATATATATATATATATATATATATATATATATATATATATATATATATATATATATATATATATATATATATATAACCCTGTCAAGCTAAACAGACAGGGTTAAAAAAATATGATCGACCTTTTCCCCCATCACTTTCATTTTTTAAATAGTAATTAATAAACATTCGATACCATTACAATTTCCTTTGATTTAATTTTAAATAAATATTTAGAGTGCCCAGGTAGCACATAAACAATTCAATTTAACAGTTTTCTTAAAGTAGAAACGTTTAACCCGTGCGGCCAGAGCGCTCTCCTTCCTTCTGCTTTGCGTAAACCTGAGCTGATCACCTACTTGTGCGTAATCAAATGTCTATAGGGGAAATACGGAAACGATATAGCCATGAGGTTCACTTTTGCCTCAGACCGACTTTTTGCTGTTTTATGGTGTGGCTGAATCTGCGATCCGCTGCCACGTGGACTGGATTAACAAATGCTGCAGTAACATGAGATGTGGTCAGGTTCGGAGTCACTGGCTGGAGCGGACCCGACTTTAATACATCATCCCAAAATAGAAGCTAATATCTTAATTTGACCTTGAATTAAAAATGTTGTTATAAAACCTCTTAAAAGTTTTTATCACAGAGGAGGCAGCGCTCATTTCTGCCTTCAGTCTGACGTGCGCGCTTATTGAATCTGTGTGTGTGTGTGTGTGTGTGTGCGCGCGCGCGGCACAGCTCCATGAGCCGCTCCAGTCACCGCGTCTCGTTATTGGCGCTATTTAAACCAATGTTGTAAAGTTACTTCTGCCCAGCCCAGATGTGCTCATAAGTGCACTTATGCACCGTGAGCCGTGGTTCCGCTGGAACGCGTCTGACCTCTGACAGACGCACTCTGAACTTCAGATCTTCAGCGCGCTGTTAATAGCCTGAATGGGAATCATTTCTTGATTTATTTTGTTACATCCACAATGTTCTGTGTGTGAGGTTTACAATGTCAGAACACCTGCGTGAGACAGGTGTTAATTACAATCTGCCAGAATGACTCGCCACCTTCAGATTTCTCCAACACCGTTAAAAATGATCAATTACGGAACATATTGTGTGCGCAGGCCAGAGTGCTGAAGCTCGGCGCATTGTTATTATGAAGCTAGGGCACATGTGGAGGACACACGCACAAAAATATACTTGTTTTCAATTACATTTATTGTGCCCACTTACTTTTTCTTAGGCCCACCCACAAATGAGTTTCTGGCTACGCTAATGGTGACATATGACAGACTTCTCTGAGCTCCGCAGCCATTACACTTTTCACCTCGCGCACCCCCTAGCGGCAGCTCGCGCACCCCCGGGGGTGCACGCACCAGGTTGTCAAAACACTCTTGTGGCATTTGGGTTGATTTGTGTTTGGATGGGACTTTCCCAGACTTCTTCAGCCCATTTATAGAATTGTAGCTAAACGAGCCCTTTAAAGCAAAGTTTAGAAACCCTAAAACTAAGCCATGAGGTACACCAAAGATGACATATTGAGAATATCTTTTAAAAATACAGAATAAATCAGTTAGTATAAAAATGCTCTTAAAATAAACAGATAAGACGTGTAAAAGAATGTTCCAAAAATTTAAGATTTTAAAATGAGGTCCCAGGTTTAGGACGGATGGCTGTGTTTATTTTAAAACACCATGCAAGCATGCAGAGCCTCCGGATGTTTTTAAAAAGTTCTTTACTTAACTTTTTGCAGTTTTTTTTCTAAACTTTCTTAATTCTCTCCAGGATGCAAAACAATCATCTGGACAGCAAAGGCAAAGTATGCATTCATTCATTCATTCATTTGCATATTTTACTCGTATCACAGCTTATTGTAAATGATTTGTCATGTTTGTCAGATCGAGGGGATGCTCCACTCCGAATGCCCCGTCACCCTTATGTGGCACCTCACAAATCGTAAGTAGAGACTGAAGAAAGCTTATACGACAAAGGTCACCTAACCTAAACATCAGCTGTGACACAAACAGAGACAAATAATAGATCACACACGACTGATTTGTTCCTCTGTGACCTAAATAATATTAATGAACCCGATCGTCCAAAGAGGCAAGCAGAAAGAGTGAGCGGTCGGGGGAACTGGCTGCTTCGGGTCCAGCAGCTAACAGTGTTTCAGGCATCAGTTTAGGTCAAAGGTTACTTTACATTCCTGGAAGCTGTCAGAGGAGAGCGATGTGCTCCTGTTTGTTAACATTTTACATCCTCCCTTTAATGTGAAACACATGTTCGGTGGTGTGAGCCTGTGAAGTAATGTGCAGCATGCACATTACTTCACAGGCTTTGTTATGAAGCAGCAGGTTTTCATATTTAACCTGTCAGAAACTTTTAATTCATTCATTTGTTTGAGCTTCATTTGCATCCAAGAGATCATGAAAGGGTGATGAGTTTTCCACTTGGAATATTCTAATGAACCATTCCTGCCTGACCTGATCCCTGGATGCAACAGGAGTGCTGCATCCAGGGAAAGCAAAGTTGATGACATCGTAAAAGCTCATAAGATTATGTTTAACCCTTTGATGCATAATGGTCACTACAGTGGACAGGTACTCAAAATTGTTATTTATTCATTTTTGCTATTAAGCACAGCTGTTGAAGACTTTATTGCATTTGAACCCCTCCATTTGGACTTCAGTAAGTCATTTTCAGAATGCACACTGTCCACTGAGGTTGACATGTAATAAACTGTGTAAATTAAATGTCACAAAAAATATGTGAATATGAAATTTGTTTCATTCACACCTAAAGATGAATGACAAAAATTGTTTAAAAAATCATGGTTGAAGATTTCATAATTCATGCATGAAATGGTTAATGTTGGGAAATCGAACATTGGAGCAGCAACAACTTCTGTCTTGGCTGTCGGTTGTGGTCTTTTAGATGAACTACGTCGATTGTAGTTCTCCTTTTAACCTGTAGGTGTCTTTACAGAAAGCAATGAAGTCAGGTAGTGCCGTGGAGAAAAGTCGTAAAGGAAGAAAAATCTTTACAATTGTTTTGACACCGCCGCCCTTTTTTTTGTCAGTTTCTCAATAGTGAAACCTACTGGTCAACACTGTAACTGAAACCATTTTTTTGTTGTTTTGTTTTGTTACATGTTATCAACATAATATTTTGTTATCCGAGAGGCACAAAGAGGAAAAAATAAATCCAAGTTCCTCCATGTAAAAATGTTCCTATTGGGAAAAAACGTCAAATCTGGCCTTAGACAGCCGTGACTGACTACTATTGTATTTTGTTCCTACATGTTCACAGGATGCTGGCTGATGATCTGAAGCTGAGCAGTGATGACGATGACACTCAAAGGGTAGACAGCACTCAACTTTTTGAGATTTTAAGCAGAACATGCAAGATAATTTACAAAAATACAAGAAACGAGTTTGTTTCTTGTTTCCCCAATGTTTTGTTTCACCTTACACGCATATACAGTACATGCTAGAAAATTTGAATTTAGCTGTATTTTTACACATATTGAAGCAAGACATTGAGAAGTTTGTGTTTTTATGTCTCTAAAGGCCATTAATGAGTCAACATCGTGGGCGAGACACAGGTATTGATTATCTGGTCTTTATGAGTTATTTTTATGAGTGTTTGAGTTAATTTGTGTGATTTACCTTTTCCGCCTGTGCCTCTCTTGACCCCTCTCTTTTGTGTGTGTGTGTGTGTGTGTGTGTGTGTGTGTGTGTGTGTGTGTGTGCGTGCGTGCGTGCGTGCGTGTGTATGTGTGTGTGTGTGGGGGTGCGTGCGTGTGTGCATGTGTGTGTGCGTGCGTGTGTATGTGTGTGTATGTGTGCATGCGTGTGTATGTATGTGTGTGTGTGTGCGTGCGTGCGTGCGTGTGTGCGTGTATGTGTGCATGCGTATGTGTGTGTGTGCCGACTGACAGCCTGTCAGCAAAGCGAGCACACACACATGGCAGGCGGGTGAGACATTCCAGCTCTGACTCCTCAGACTCTGACTCCAGTGCCGAATCGGGCAGCAGCAGCGTTCCTTCTCGGAGCCCCAGTCCAGAAGTGCACCCAGGTCCCCTGTCGCCTGCCAACCCGCTGCCACCGTGCAACGACAAAGAGGTAACAAACGCTAACGTCGGGTCTCTCTCCATCTCGGTTTGTGTGCTTTTGGATGGAGTCTCTGCAGGGAGTGGTGACCCTGAGGCAGTTGACAGCAGGTGTGGAGAGGGACGGAGGAAGGAGGAATGTTTGTGAGTTGGAGGAAAGCGATTGGGGGTCGAGGGCCTGAGGTACCTTTAGGAATTAGTGCCTCAGTCAGTGTCATGTCAACAGGCTATTAGAGGAAAGCCCTCAGGAGGAGCAAGCCACCAAGAACCAGATTTACATTTACTAAACTGTTCAAGACATCATGGACAACATGTTTAGACATTTTCAGAGGTTAGATGTGGAGCTTGGCGGCTTTTGGAGGCATGGGGCAATATGGGGGGTTAAGATGTGAAGTGGGGAAACCTGCTCCTCTTCTATGAATGAAAGGCCCTGTGTGACACACAGCACACTGTAATACAGAACATGTTAGTTTGGAGGGTGGGGGTTGGAGAGGGGGCTGCATGTGTTTTTCATTTACATGGAGTGTTTGAGTGTCTCCAAAGAAAAAAAGGGATGGGGGTTGGAGAAATCTAGAGTTCCAGGTAAAAAAGAGAAAGAGGAAAAAAGGGAGGGCTAGAAGAGAAGGGAGAGAGGGAGGGAAAGGGAGTCGAGACGGTACAAGAGATGTAGTGTCTTCTCTGAAGTGAGGGTGAGGGATGAGGGGAGGAGGTGGAGGGGTCGGTGTTTGACTTGAGGAGTTTAATTTAGCTCCTGGTTGGAAGGAAAACGAGAACATGTAAAAGAAATCGAGCCTTGAGTTCTAGTTGTAAGTACGCTCTTTGTTTAACTTAAAGAAGTTTCGTCTCCTGTTGACCTCAGATTCTTGTTGTTTGCGTGGCTGTAGTCGGCAAACATCAGATGGATTTTTAGATTAGGCTTAATCTAATCTGACTGTAAGCTCAGGGGGAGTCTAGAGGGACTCCGAGTCCACGTAGGGAGCAGGCCATGGCATCTTTGGGAGTCGTCATTAGGATCTGGACTTTTAATGGTTGAGAAAGTGAGATTGACTTTGACTTGATATGTTTCTGGAACATTTGTTAACTGATCTGTGTCATTTCGTTTCAATCAACCGTTTGCAGACACTTCAGGAGAAATATGAGACTGGTTATTAGGCTATTTCTAAGATACCATCATATGATGCTATACTGTTAAAGGTTTGTTTGAAAAATATGAAGGTTATTTTTTGTTTGAAGCAACTTGTTTTTACTGGTTAATATAGAAACAAAATAACCTCCATAGCAAAGTACGTTTTTTCAAAGTATTACAAAAAAATTTATTTATATATATTAATGACATGATGATGTGCATCTTTTTGATAAAACCCATCAGAATCTGGCTCTCCCTGTTAAAATGTGTACCTTTTTGTGTAGAAGAATATTTTCATGATCATGAAGTAACATGACAGATATGTGATCGTAACAGAAAGAACAATCTTTATTCCGTTTTTCTGCTTCTATGATGAGCGAGGGACAATGAAGAACAAAATCTTTTAGATTTTTTTTAAACATTAAATATAAAAAAATGGTCTTGAGTCGGAAAAGTGTAGAATGTCCTCTCCAGGTCAGGGAGGAGGTCCTGCCCCGAGTGGGGGAGTTGAAGTATCTTGGAGTCTTGTTCACAAGTGAGGGAAAGATGGAGCGGGAGATCGATAGGAGGATGGGTGCTGCATCTGCAGTGATGCAGGCGTTGTACCGGTGGTGAACAGAGAGCTGAGACAGAACGCAAAGCTCTCGATTTACCGGTCGTTCTACGTTCCTACCCTCACATACGGTCACGAGCTTTGGTTAGTGACCAAAAGAATGAGATCATGGATACAAGCAGCCTCTACATGGCATCTGGGCTCTCCCTTAATGATAGGGTGAGAAGCTTGGTCATCCGGGAGGGGCTCAGAGTAGAACCGCTGCTTCTCCACATCAAGAGGAGCCAGTTGAAGTGGCTCAGGCATCTGGTTAGGATGTCTCCTGGACGCCTCCCTGGTGAAGTTTTCTGGGCTCGTCCAACCAGGAGGAGATCGAAAGGAAGACTCAGGACACGCTGGAGGGACTATGTCTCTCAGCTGGTCAGGGAACGCCTTGGGATTCCCCCGGAAGAGCTGGCCCAAGTGGCTGGGGAGAGGGAAGTCTGGGCCTCTCAACTTAAACTGCTGCCCCACAACCTGACTCCAGATAAGCGGAAGAGGATGGATGGATGGACGGACGGACGGACGGACAGATGGACGGACGGACGGACGGACAGATGGATGGACGGACGGACGGATGGATGGACGGACGGACGGACGGATGGATGGATTGATTTAAACAAAACTGTTTTATGGGAAAAGTGAACAAACGGGAGTAATAGGGCGAACACGCTAAACAAAAATCCCCATCTGATCACATTCAAACATTAACATTATTTCATTTAAAAGACAAAACATTTATGTCTAAAATATATTAATGCATCTGAAAATGATGAATTTATAATAATTTACAACATGCTGATTGAACAATTGACTTTTCAGAATTTAACCTGATGGAATGGCAGCAGTTTCCCTCTCTAGTATGGAGTTAGACAACAAGAATTTAGTCTGATCTGTAGTTTTAATGTTCTCAAGCATAAATCTGTTCTAAAACATTGACTTACGTAGAAATCTGTTAAATATACATTACTTATTGTCCTATCTAATATTGTAAAAGCTGTAAAGATCTCATTCAAATATAAATAACATTTTGTCTCTCTTGGTCTAAAGACAGATCACCCCTCTCCTACCCAATGGCAGCTAGATAAATGGCTGAAGAGGTCAAAGAAAAACTCTGGCAGCACTGAACGGAATCACTCCTGGAAGGTTCCAGAACGCCAGCGATCTCCCCAAATCCAGAGAGCCCCATCGCCGGCTAGATCATGGGACAGCCATCAGGAGTACAGCCCTAGTCAGAGTCCAATACCCAGCCCAAAGTTCAATCACAGCCCCAACAACAGCCCCATTCCCAGTCCTGGTTACAGCTACTGCCCAAGCCCCAGCCCATTCACTAGCACCTGTCCAAGCCCCACCCCCAGTCCAAGACACATTTCAGTCCCAAGCCCAGCTCGAAGCTTGTGTCCCAGTCCATGTGGAAGCCCAAGAGCCAGCCGTAGCCCGAGCCCTTTACCAAATCATCCTCCAAGAAGCCCAAGTCCCACTTTACGTACACCGACCAGAATTAGTCACTACCTTGATGGTCAGAATCAGATCCAAGGACATTCCAGTCTGACATCTGACCCCCACAGGACAAGAATTAGACCATGGTTTGCTCCAGTACCCGCCATCAACACAAAGACAACAACCACAAGTGATCATCATCAACCATCGCATCAACATAGACCCAAGACTCACCCATCACAGAACCAAGTCAAAAACCAAAGCAGGCTCACTGCTCCTGTAGTTTTAACCTCCAATCAGACCCACAACCACAATCCCACACCTAGACCAACTTCATATTCCAACGCAAAACAGCCATCTGATGCTCACAAAGCTAAAAACACATCACATGTTGATCAAATCCAAATTAACCCTTCCAACCACAAGTCACGGCCTCCGTTTCAGCAGCCAAATCCAACCAGACCAAAGCATCCAGTTTCTTCTGGTCGAGAAGCCAGAGCTGCTCACAGTTCTCTTTCACAACCTACCTATAAAGCTACAAATACCTCTGGTGTTGCATCAAGCTCTAGGTCCAGTCCTAGCCAAGTGCATCGGTCAAAATCGTGGGAGTCCACGGTATCAAACTCTGTTCATGTAAATAACTCAAAAACTGCAGTTCGGAAGCTTCCAGCCAAGGCACAGGAAGTAAACCAGAGAAGATCGAGTTTGAACCAATCAGAGGGTAGAAAACAGGAGAGAAAGGAGGACAGACATAATTGTGAGAAACAACGGGGGAAACCAGAGAGAAAAGAAGACAGGAGGCTGGCGGAGGAGCAGCTACTGAGACGACCCTGGATCCAAAGCTCAGCGGAAGAGGAAGAGGAAGAGGACGTGATAGAGCAACAGGGTGGGAGAGACGAGGCAGCAAAAGAGGAGAGCAGGAGAAAGGAGGAGCAGCTAAATAAATGGCTAACAGCTCTGGCCAAAGACAGAGGGCCTGCCAACTTTGAGAGACACCGCCTTAGAGAGGGCTCAGACCATCAGGAGAGGACAACCAAGAGAGGGAGATGTGAGGAAGACAGAGGCCCATCGCCCCATCTGTCTTCACACTCTCCTCCAAACCCTCACAGACTGTCCTCATCACCACCCTCATCCTCCACCTCTTCTTCTAATTCAGACTCAGAATCTGAATTTCTTATTTCAACCGCCAAAGTTTCAGCAGATTCCATCTCTCACAAGACATTCAGCAAGAAAGGGCAACAAGTCCCCAGCAGACCCAACGCCCCGAGGCCCCAGGCGGTTCACTCCAGAGGACCAAACTCGGGCCCTCCTTGTGAGGGGCAGCAAAGTGAGAGGAAGCAGAAACTCTACACCTTGGTTCCATTTGGACGAAGCGAGAAGGCAGCTCCCACCTCCCAGCGGGGGCTGAGAAACCTGGTGGTGCACATTGACCTCTGTCTTCTAAAAAGGGTCCCTGATAGCTCAACAAATTCCCCTGTAAAGAAAAACACTTCTTCCTCATCTTCTTCATCAACCAAGGACAGGCAAAGAGAAGTTATGAAACACACGCACGTTCCAGATGCTTCGACAAAAGATGGCAAAAGGAAACGCAAGGTAGACAACCGGTGTTTGTACTTAGGGTGTGCAGTCACGTGTTTAAGAAGCTGTATGGTGCAGACAGCAGTCCCAGTACTTTTGTTTGTGTGACCAGGTGGAGAACGGAGTGTCAGACCGGGAATGCAAGAGGAGTCAGCTTTATCCAGATGACCCCCCTGGACCAACAGAATCATCAGTCACAGCTGAGACTTTAGTGACTGAGACGATGCACAATGGGTAAGGCCTTCAGTATGTCTTCTCTGATAAGATAAACGTGTATTTTGAATACACTCTTACATTATATCATCTTAAATACTGCAGGTACCTGGAGGAGTACTTGGACAAGAGGCCAATGTCTCCCTTGTCTCCATTGTCTCCATTGTCTCCGCTGCCCCAGAGCCCTGAACCCACCAAACCTACCTCCAAAACAAAGACAACTGAGCAGCAGAACTCTCGCACCCAGAAAAGCAAGGAGAAGAGCAGAGACCAGCCCGTCAAGGTACACTAAAGCCCTTCTTGTTTGGACCACGCCGCTGCTTGCATCCCTTTGGTTGATTTAAGCTCTTCCTTTGAAGCCCAAGATGGAGGTGGAGTGTGTAAAAGTATCAAAACAACCCCAACCTTCGTCCGAGTCCTCCTGGAGACCTGCTGACCACAGAGGAGCTGTTCCGCATGAAACGTGAGTCCAGACATTGTGTTACAGCGTAACACAAACTCACAGCTGACAACAGAGGTACACGCGTAACTGGTGATGTGTTTTTGTGTGTATTTATGTAGTTCTCACCATGCTGAGTACTACTTACATGAAGCTAAAAGGATGAAGCACCGTGCCGATGCAATGGTGAGTTTTTGGCTTTGATTCAATGTTAATCTTTGGCCTTTAGATTTGTATTTACAGGTGAACCACAACCTGATTCAAGATGGCTGATGTGACTAATCAGAGTTAGCAAACAGAAGAAAACAACTAGAACTAAGTCAATTTCACAATGTTGAGCTAACACCAAATATCATAGAAGCTGAAGGTCACTTATAACACTTACTCTGAGAGATTGTGTGTAATATTGTGATGTTGCATGGAATACTGTAAAATTATATCTTCTAGATTTCACCAAAATATTTAGAACTGCAACAATTGCACGCAAATCTCCATCTTGTCTTTATTATAAGGCTGGATTTATATTTTTCCAGGTGGATAAGTTGGGAAAAGCTGTTAACTATGTTGATGCTGCTCTGTCCTTCATGGAATGTGGGAAGGCGATGGAGGAAGGGCCGCTGGAGGCCAAGTCTCCTTACACCATGTATTCAGAGACGGTGGAGCTGATCAGGTGAATGCCATTAACCAACACGGGATTTTACAGACAAACAGCCGCTCTGCTGACAGCTGCATGTTTTAAGGTACGCCATGAAGCTGAAGAGCCACTCGGGCCCTGGAGCAAGGCAGGAAGACAAACAGCTGGCGGTTCTGTGGTGCGTATGTCCTCACCGCTGTTTTCTGCCTCGTGTAGTTGTCTCTTTCAGGATGGTTTGATGTCCGTCTGTAACTTGTGTGTCTTGTAGTTTCCGATGCCTTGCTCTCCTTTACTGGCAGATGTTCCGTTTGAAAAAGGATCATGCGCTGAAATACTCCAAAGTGCTGCTTGACTATTTCAAGGTATAACAAGAAAAATGATTCATTTTTGCAGGTTTTTAACATTTTTCTTACAGGTGAATTCATAAGATATGTTTCCATGTCGTCGCAGAGTTCTCCCAAAGTGCCTACAACACCACCTGGTTGGAATGATTGTGGGAAGTAAGTAGTTCTGGTTATTTAATCAGCTTGGGTTCTTCGTTCTCTGCTGATTTCCACCATCACTCGTGTCTAGGAGCATGGGAGAACACCCGTCTTCACTCTCACCCAACGCCAGACACCGCAGAAGGGACCCACCTGGTGGCAGCAGCTCATCTCTCATAAGCATTCCCCAACGCATCCACCAGATGGCAGCAAACCACCTGAACATCACCAACAGTGTCCTGTACAGTTATGAGTACTGGGAGGTAGCAGACAACCTTGCAAAGGAAAATAAAGGTGAAACTTTTAAACTTAGAAAAAATATGAAATGTGTTATTTAATTCTTTAAAAGATTTGAAGAATTATGTTGTCTTTACAGAGTTCTTCAACTACTTGAATACCTTGTCTGGACCTTTGACTATTCACAGCAGCGTTGCTCATGCTGTCCAGTACACCAGACAAGCTCTTCAGTGGATACGCATCAGTGCCAAACTTAATTAAACGCCAGCTAAAACGATTTACTTTAACTCATCCACTGGTTCTTCTGGACTCGTCTGCTGCAGACGAATCAAGGCCTTCTGAAAGAGGAGCGTTATTTTCTTCCTCGCCGTTGGATTATTCCAAGGAGTTGTGTGGATGGTGGAGGTCTCCAATTATTTGCCAAACCACGGACTTCAAAGAACTCAAATTGTCTCCAAATACATGAGCTTTTACAAATTTTGGTAAAAAATGAAAAACAGGACAATGTTTTTCATTCTTAGCATGATTCTTACTTTTGAAGAATTTATTTTATTTTTTAACTTGTGTTTTTACTGTGCAATATTTGATAAATGATTTGTTTTTAAGGAAAAAATAAAGGTGAAAATTTTAGCAACATTTTTTGTTTTCATAGTTCTGACTGACAGCTTTCTCTCTCTCTCTCTCTCTCTCGCTCTCTCTCTCTCTCTCTCTCTCTCTCTCTCTCTCTCTCTCTCTCTCTCTCTCTCTATATATATATATATATATATATATATATATATATATATATATATATATATATACACACACACACACACACGTGACACACACACACACACGTGACACACACACACACACACACACACACACACACACACACACACATTGTAATGATTACTTTTTCCATAGCTTAAACCAAAGTAGGAGAATGCAGATGTTGTAAATGGGAAGTGGGGGAATTCTTCAACAGGTTTCCTGCAAACACGCACCTGTTTCATGAGTCAGTTCAACTGCTCAGAGATCAGTGTTACCACCACCTTCTGCACATAGACTTTGCAGCAACAGATGTCTGGTACCATAGCAACAGAGGACAGCCAATAAGAAGAGGCTTTGGGACAGAATCAACAACATCACAGTGGATGTTTATTATTTTTATAGTATTCAGTTCTGTGTTTCAGGATTACACTGACTATATCTTATTTTCATAAAAGATAATCCATTGTAGCCAAGAGCTTTTTTAAATTTATTATTATTATATTATTATTATTATTATTATTATTATTATTATTATTATTATTGTTGTTGTTGTTGTTGTTGTTATTATTATTATTGTTGTTGTTGTTGTTATCAGGGTGAAGCTGCTACTAGTTCTTTCCAACCGCATGTGCTTCTACGTGGCAGCGGTTTGGTTGCCCTCGCGACTGAGCGGTGCCATCTGCGGACAACAGAGCAAAGCAACTATTAGGTAAACAATGAATGGACAAAATTGGTTATTTGGAACAAAACAATCAGTGACGCAAAGAACAAAAATCTTTATTTTGATGTCTAAAATTATTCCCTCGGTGAAACAGTTTAACGCAATGTTTTCTTGACCTTCAGTTGGCATTTGTTGTCCAAAAGAGAATAAATTATTCTGGTTGCGCTGAACGACACTGTGGGCTGGCAACAATGCCTTGACATGTCACTCCACTAGGTGGCAGTATTACGACACAACATGAAGTTGAAACACAAGAAACCGGCGGGAATCATCAGCGACTTTCACGAAACCGGAAATCTGGCATGTCTCAATTTTTCAAAATAAGATATTTTGACTTTTTGTCACGTAAATGATCTGCGTTCTTCCGATAGTGGCAGTTGCAGTTGCCGTGCTATACAGCGTGAGGCATTTATTATACTTACCAGAAACTGTCCAAGAAAAAGATCCAGCACACTTTTCTTGTGATAAAGATGTGCTGTGTGATACAAAGCAAATGGCACAGCAGATTGGTGGAAAATCACTAATTATTACCAACTGTGTACAATCTATACGGTTTAACTAAATGTTCTAATTTTGCTGAATTGAAAATCCTCTGCCACATTGTTTTAGTCACATCTTGTTTTGAAAAACGGTACCGGAAGTGTATGTTGTTTTACCGCTGGCTTTGAGGCTAGCCGAGAGAAAAGAGAAGGTAAATGGAACAGGCGGCTGTAATGGAGAGCGAAAGGACTGGGAGCTTAAATGTTCTGGAGACATGGCGTGGCTGCATGACACAATAAAGGAATCTCGCCACCATAAATGGACGATTCCGAAAAACAAAGTCGAGGCCGTGGCATCGAGCTTCCTGCCTGGAGAATTTTCATTTCGCTCTGCGTTTACCTCGTTTAACCCAAAGCAGAGAGAGAGAGAGAGCACGCACCGTTTGATCCGAGCAGGATCTGCAGAGAGGAGTCTGTGACCAACAACCTCGCCTGACAGCTTTAAAGGTAAAAACTATTGACTTCTCCTGGCGAGCGGACACTCCAGCACCGCTGTTTGTTTACTACAACGATTAGCTCCGCGCTTAAGTTGCACAATCAATCACCTCGTTCATTGTTTCTTACAGCGTTGTTAGCAAGTGCGGTGAAAACACTTCCACTGGTTTTCATTTAACTGGCATGTTTCTCACGTTGTGGCGCAGCGACGTTCAGGAGCAGGCAGGGATCACCGCAGCTAGGCTAATGTTAGCAGCTGACCCGTGAATGCCACATGGAGCTGTGTTGTTGTTGTGACCAACCTGTCAGTGGGTGAAATCTGCCCGGGCACGTCTCTCACAGGACAGTCATAGCTAAAAACATGAATATTAGTTCCATAACATGACTGTCATGTCATCAATGTGTCACCCGGCTCGTGCAAAAGTAAGTTTTATAAGCAAGTTTCTTCAGTCATCAGGTAGGAACGTGTCATGGTTTATTAATAACTTTAAAGTAATTTTGCTTTGAGATCTGAGTGCTTTTTTGACTTGTGACAACAGGTTGACCAATGTGGGCTTTTCAGTTGCAGATACCAATGCCGATCTGCAGAAATCAAAGCTATCCGTGGCTGACAAACATTGCAAATGTGTATTTGTTTTTTCATTTAACAAAATGTAACGAAATTGATCGATTTTAACATGTATTTAATAACACTTTGACGTGTAAAAAAGAAATAAACATTTATACAGAGGTGAATTCTGGTTTGAGAAAACTAAAATGTGACCAGGCTGCATCTACACCTTATTATTTAAGTACGCACAATAAAGACTCACACAAAAATAATCAGCTTGAGATTGGACTCGACCATCATTCTTCATGACTGTGTCTGAAATTTTACATGTTTTCATCCGTTAAGGCATTGTTACCAAGCAATAATAATAAAAAAAAATTATCTGTCCATCAGCTCATTATTGATAAGCAAACTGATGAAACAAAATAAATACATGTTGCTGATGAGATCTATAGAACTGGTTACATTTTGCATCAGCAGGTCAGAGCTGTGTAAACATTGGAAACCGGTATTGGCCTTCAAAACTAGAATCGGTGCATCTTTTATTAAGTAGTGAAGTAAATCTACTTAAGTATTTAATATCAAACAAAACACAATAAAAGCAAACACGCATAAAATAAGAACAAAAACAGCAAATTTGGTTTAAGAAAAGAGCATAAAAGCAATGCAAACATTAAGAAAAAGTAAAAATCTCATGCACGTGCATAAATGATCACATACACATTTATACCAATGGCCAATATCCGCCAATCGATTAATGATTACTTCTACTAGTGTCCCTGTGTTGAGAGTTGGTCTCCTTCTGTTTACAGGAAGCTCAGTATGAGTCGAGATGGGTGGATGAAGAAGAAAGCTAATACTGGTGATGATAATGGTTGGGGTGAAAAGGTGAGTATTACTCTCCTACAGCTGTCAGAGCTCCACTGTGAGTTAGACAGTTTGCAGGATCTGCAGCACACAACGTTACATGTTATTTTGCAGGTTAGAAAATAACGATGGATCGTGATGCCCACAGAAAAGTCTCAGCTGTGTTTCTGTTATTTCATACATTCCTTCTCCTGCAGGGCGGCTACATGGCCGCCAAGGTCTCCAAGCTCGACGAGCAGTTTAAACGTGATGCCCCTAGAGAGAAGCAGAAGGAAGGAACATGCTCCAGCATCTTCAGCGGTGTGTCCATATACGTCAACGGATACACAGGTAGCACTCTGCACTAGTCCCCATCTAGTGTGTAATAAAAGTCTTGTTTGCTGTCTTCCAGTCACAGTTTCTCCTCTTGACCTTTAAGAGCAAAAAGAAAATGTTTTCAAGGGCTCAGAAGCTTCTTCCTGCTTTTTCCTTCAGGATTGATTTAAGAAATATTTAACTCTGCAACAAAGAAAAAAGAAATGCTGCAAGGGTTTGATCAAGGCCATAAATCAAGTCCAAAGAGAGTATTCTTTAGAGGAATGAACGCCTGACGTTCATATGGGCGAATCGAAAGGAGAGAGTGTGATTTAACAGCGTCGACATGGAGAAACAAGGCAGCGCTGCTTCCTGATCCTGTTGTTATTCATGTCAGGAGGCTGCTGAAGGCTTTCTGAACGCCTCAGAGCTTGGCTTGTCTCTCTGGAGTTTGCATGTTTTTCTCTAATTATTTTAAATGAATGTCTAGGATCCCCCAACAACGATAAAAAGACTATCTTTTCTTTAGGTTCTAGTTTATGAATGAATGTGTTTCTTTTCGTTTTACCGTCAGATCCGAGCGCTGACGAGCTCCGCAAACTGATGATGCTACACGGGGGTCAGTTCCATCTCTATTACTCGCGCTCCAACACCACTCACATCATCGCCAGCAACTTACCCAACTCCAAGATTCAGGAGCTCAAAGGGGAAAAGGTCATCCGGCCCCAGTGGATCACGGACAGGTGTGTTTGGTGCTGGAGAGTGTCGACGTGTGACGCTTAATCGGTTTTAGCTGAAACTCTGCTTGTTTGTGACAGTGTCGTGGCTGGGCGCCTCCTGCCTTATTTCCAGTACCAGCTGTACACGAAACAGAAAAGCACACTCTTCCCCGGCGTTATCCTGCACCGCAGCTCCACCGCCACCGGGTCCGGCCACCTTCCCCTTCAGACCAGCGCTCGCCAGAAGCTGCGTTCGCCACAGCGCAACACTGAGCTCTCTGTTCCCCACAGTGAAAGGTCCTTGTCCAGCTGCCAGAACAACTCCATCCTTGTCTCCACCCGCATTGAAGCTGACCCCTTGTCCACCCTGCACAGTGGCAGAGCTCGCTCGGTGAACCCCAGACCCAATCAGCTCACCACAGATCTACTCACACACAACCAGTGCAGCACAAAGCACTCGCATCCTGCCCACCTGCATGAAGAAGACCTTAAAATGTGAGTACATGCACTAGCAAAGGCTTTCAGCTAAAATCACGGAGAACTTGTAGTTATTTTCTGTCTCTTTACTACAGAAATGGGCGACTGCAGACCTCTGTGGATAACACGAGCCATTCCAAAATAAAAAAGCTGCAGGAGTGTACAGAAGATGACTTTTGTTCTTTTGGGGTGAATGAAGCCCCCCTTACTAATGGACATGCTCATCTTGTCAACGGTGCCTTAAAGTCAGGGGACCTGTCCTCTGGAACTGATCCCAACTACAGGATCGGGTCCAAAAGTAAAGTGCAGCGTTCAACGGATAAACCTCAAAGTCCTCTGAAACAGAACAAGTGTGACCCGTATGAGTTCCCCCCCAGCCCTCCAAAGCTTGACGCATCACCTGATGGCCATAGAACTCCTCCGCCCGCTTGTCCTGAGTCTCCAAAAGCCAACAAAACCCAACTCCCACCCAAACGTCTCCTCTCAACTCGGGTCCAAACAGTTTCTGAGCAGTCTCATCTGTCCCTTTCATCCTGTTCTCTGTCGCAGTCTTCAGTTCGACCGAACGGCAGTCACCGCGATGCCTTCTCATCCGACCTCTCGTTCCTCGGCACGGCCTCCGTAACAGCCAAGCCCGACCCCCCCGCCGGCGAGTCTCCGTCCAAGGCCTCGGAGCATCTGCTGGAGCAGACGGGCGGTCTGATCTCGGAGTTCTACTCACACTCGCGTCTGCATCAGATCTCCACGTGGAGGATCAGCTTCTCTGAGTACGTCAATGAGCTGCACAGCAAAACGAAAGCGCCGGGAGTGGCTTCCTACCCTGGAAGAGACCGACTGAAGAAATTCACAAGTCAGCGACCAACGGGCAGCCGCGGTATGAAAGTCGCCCACTCTGTTGATTCATTCTGTGAACTAGCAGCTGCGTTTTTATCTTGTTTTGTTTGTTTCAGGCACATCAGCACCGAGGAGCATCAAGTCATGCATCCTCCATGTGGACATGGACTGTTTTTTTGTGTCTGTCGGGATCCGGCACAGACCGGATCTTAAAGGCAGGTCTTTTTTTGCCTCTCTAAATACACGCTTATACATAAGTTAGACATTGAATTTTTGTTTTGAATTTTCCTGCAGGGAAGCCCGTAGCTGTCACCAGCAACCGCGGACAGGGTAGAGTTCCCATAAGGCCTGGAGCTAACCCGCAGGCGGAGCAGCAGTACTACCAGAGGAAACACACTCATCCTCAGCCAGGTGAGATTTTTCCGCCCTGTTAAGCGTGAAGTAAAGAGTTCTGTCGTAACAAACTGTAACGTGGCTGCTGATCAGACGAGGATCTACTGGGGACTCCCTCGCAAGGCTGGCCCAACTCCTGCGACAGCAGAGCGGAGACGGATGCCGCGGCTCTCTCCATGGCGGAGATCGCTTCCTGTAGTTACGAAGCTAGGTATGATTTAAACACAGCTAATATTAGCTGAATAAATAAGTGTTTAATATGTGTTTTCGCCATCCCAGGCAGGTGGGAGTGAGGAACGGGATGTTTTTTGGCAAAGCGAAGCAGCTGTGCCCCTCGTTGCAGGCTGTTTCTTATGACTTTGAGGCTTATAGAGAGGTGGCTCTAAACATGTATGAGATCCTAGCGAGGTAAGAAAGCTGAAATCCTTCAAATCATCACTTTGTTTTTTGTTTGTTTGTTATTGACTTGATAACTTCATGAAATGCAGTTACACTCGTGACATAGAGGCTCTGAGCTGTGACGAGGCGTTGGTAGACGCTTCTGCTCTGCTCGCTGAGGTAGGAGTCGGCCCGGAGGATTTGGCCAGAGCCATCAGAGCAGACATCGAGAAGAAAACAGGATGCTGTGCTTCAGTGGGGATGGGTGAGCCAGGGTTCTTCCTCTAGAATATTTTGTATATTTAGTTGTATTTAATCAAACTGTGATCTGTTCAGGGTCTAACATTCTTTTGGCTCGGCTGGCGACCCGTAAGGCCAAACCCAATGGGCAGTACTTCCTTAAATCTGAAGAAGTGGACGATTTTATCAGGGATCTACCAGTTACCAGTTTACCAGGTTAACGTTTCATCCGGCTCACGAGTACTAACCTGTTAGCATTTGTGAAGTAGTTAACAGTTGCTGTTTTCTAGGGGTTGGTCGTGCTATGGCTAAAAAACTTGCCGGTATGGAGGTGACGTCATGTGGGGACCTCCAGCACGTTACTCTGTCTCAGCTGCAGAAAAGGTTTGGACCGCGTACCGGACAAACCCTGTTCCGGTTCTGCAGGGGCTTGGACGACCGGCCTGTTCGCTTTGAGAAGGAGAGAAAATCGGTGTCGGCTGAGATGAACTACAACATTCGTTTCACCACGGTTGGTCCTGCTCTTCTGCTTTGCTCTTCGTTTCGTAACAGCCGTCATTTCTAAATGTGCAGCTTTAAAACTCACCAGGTTGATGAGACGGAAAGTTTCCTGACCAGTTTATCCACGGAAGTGCAACGGCGTTTACAAGAAGCGGGGCTACGCGGTCGGAGAGTCACGCTTAAGGTCATGGTTCGTAAAGCAGGAGCGCCGCTGGAGCCGGCTAAATATGGAGGCCACGGCATTTGTGATAATCTGGCAAAGTGAGAAAGATCTGCATCAGCCCGCCTGTGGGTTTTTGTGCTTTTCTTGACTCGTTTTACTTCTCACCAGGACTGTGATGCTCGCTCAGTCCACCGACAGCGGTCAGCTGATCGCCTCTGCCGTTATCAAGCTGTTCCATGCCATGAAGCTGCAGGTTCAGGACTTGAGAGGAGTTGGGATTCAGGTTCAGCTTCTTGAAGGAAATCAGTCTGTTGCACGGGACTCCCGGGTTCCTCAGTCGCACTCCATCAAAGACTTGCTGTTAGGGCCGGGTCCGAGTGCCAAACCTGGTAACAAAGGTTAGTTTGGTCTGTGATGTTTAGTTTTTGCCACCGTAGTCTAGAGTCCTGAATATGTTTTGGTTAATTGGTCCAAATCCTGCAGACGCTCTCCAGGATCAGCCTTCCCGTTCGTCCGCTCCCTCACGAGGCTCTCCACCAAATCTTCGGGCATCACCTGAGCCAGTTCCAGGAACAAGCAAAGACTTTCCAGGTTGCAGGCAAACACCAAAACATTCTCACTCACATCTCAACGTCAGTATCGAAGTCCCGTCGCCGTCGCAGGTAAAGAGGATCTGATGATGCAGAAGAACTGATCAGAAACAGATGTTTTCTCTCTCCTCCCTTTCTCTGTAGCTGCTATTTTATCTTCCAAAAAACATTATTTTTTACACTTTATTTTCTTTTGAAAGTTTCCCAAGGTGTCCATAATCTATCTCATAAGCTTCATATGTGTTTCTGAATACTTCTTAAGGTGGACCGTTCTGTCTTGGAGGCCCTTCCAGCAGAGCTGAGGGAGCAGGTGGAGCGGTCGTGGAGTAGGAGAGACGACAGACCAAATAACTGCCATCCAGCTGATCTGCAGCCCTCCTCACCTAATCCTCGTTCAACGTCCCCTCCTCATCCTGCACTTTACTCTCCACCCGCTGGAACGTTGCTTCTGCAGATTCCAAACCAGCCCGACAGTCCGGGAATTGTACTGGAACTACCAAACTTCTCACAGGTTCAAGCGCAGCTGTTTTGTGAACTAGACCCGGATAGAAGAACCGTATGCGTGAATAGTGACCTTAAACGGTCTTTAGCAGATTTCCTTTTTCTGACTGCAGGTTGATCCTGATGTTTTCGCTGCACTTCCCAAAGAGCTCCAGGAGGAGCTGAAGTCTGCTTACCACCGAGCTGCAAACCTCCCCCCCCAGGTGAATGCAGGTGAGTTGACTCCAGAACACCTTTGAGTTTTGCCTGCATGCTTTTTGTCATCCTGACCCACGTTGTTGGACCCTTTGGTTCAGCTGCAGTGGAGCAGAAGAATCCACTGTTGCAGCTAAAGCAGCCAGGGCCAGGAACCGGCGTCGGTCCGGCCAAGCGGCGCTACAAGAGGAAGAATGTAGTCAGTCCGGTCAAAAAAGGGACTTCGCCTGTAAAGAGGCAGCAGGGGACCCACAGTCCAACCAAAACCGCATCCCGTCCTGTAAGATCACAAGAACTAATGAATGTACCAAAGGTGAGTCTAATGTGAAAGATCAAGTTGGTTTTATTTGTTTTCTGTTTGAACTCATGCACGTTTCTCATTCTCAGACTGAAAATGAGCCCTCAACCTCAAAGCAGGACATCCCAGCACCTGTGACTGATCCGGTTCCTCGTCCTGTTCCTGCCCTGGCTGGAGCCTGTGAGCTGACAGATATTAAAACACTCCTGCGAGAATGGGTCACCACAACAACAGGTACAGATGTTTTAAGTGACGACTCGTGTATTTTTAAATAGCAAAAATAGGTTGTTTCATTTTTTTTATAAGGAGGTCTTGCTTTCAATTAGATCCAAAGGAGGAGGACATTCTGCACGTGGTGAAGTACTGCACTGATTTAGTTGAAGACAAAGATCTGGAGAGGTTGGATTTGGTGATAAAATGTATGAAAAGGTCAGTTCTGCTCAGTGTCGCCTTTTCTGTTCATCTTCTTGTTTTTAAATATGTTTTCTACATTTAGCGCTGAAATGTTTTCCTGCAGGCTCATGCAGCAGTCCGTGGAGTCCATCTGGAGCACGGCGTTTGACTTCATCCTGGACATCGTGCAGGTTGTAGTGCAGCAAGCGTATGGTAGCATCCTGAAGATAACGTAAAGACAACCTTCTGGGTGTGGTTGTTACACCACCTACTTTCCCCCCGTTTTGCAAACTCATCCATCCAACAAAGTGAGATTTAAATTTTTTATTAATTTGTTCTCAACTGTAGATAATGGCTTACAATAATCACATGATAAATACAGGCAGTGAGAGATAGAGCCATTACAACAAAATAAAACCATGCATTTTTGTACTTTTTTCATTTGCAAGCAATTCAATGTACAGGGCAATAAAGGTTCTCAGTGCTTTTTCACCATAGCCCAACTTTAAGGAAGACTTAGTATTTCTTTTCATATTTCTGTTTACTTTTATACAGGCTTTCATATTCTTGGTGATTTGCTAATGGAGTTCACTCCTTTTTGATGCACATATTAGTTGTAAAATACAGTTGATCTTGTTTAAATTTGAAACAACTATCAGTTAAAAAGTCTGTTTCTCTGGTAGCACTCCTCAGGCATCATGCATCAAAACAACCTCAGAAATAGTCAGACAAAAAGACAATATTCATTCGTTCTTTTGGTGCTCTAGCACCTACCTGTGAATTTTCTGCAGCTGCTGCATACAGCTGCATCTTTTTCCTCTTTCGAAAAAGTGCCAAACTTTGTTATAAAGTGTAAATAATGTTTTTAAAAGGTCTTTGTGAAGCGTTTTAAAGAGAGCTGTACGTGGAGGAATTCCCTCTTGTATTGTTTACGAATAGTGAATTCTTAGTAACCGTCTCTAAATTGTAACTTTTCTCACTTTATTAATGTTTCTAAGTGTTTAAACATGGAAATCAGAAGCTAGACAAAGTATTTCAGAAGAGGGTTGGCTGTTGATTCTATGTTGCACTCTTAATTTGAAAGGACATTGACGTCAATCTTGGCAATCAATCAGCCTATGCATTGTTTTTCACACTAACAATTCTGATAATTACTCAAAAGAATGTAAGATTATCAAACATTTGTATCAGGAGTAACTCCAGTGTTGCATCATGTCTTACTGGCTTCCTAACCTCATAGATAATGCTGGATTTGCAAAGGAACAGGTGATCTGATTTGTCACCCAGAGATCCATCTTGTGTAATTCACGGTCTGCTGTCATTTGCATGGTGCGTGGCTATTTTCATGTACATATTCTGAATTTAACTTTTACGTGATCAGTGCTCGTCAGACACAGATTTATGATGTCCATGGGGGATAATAGTGGTTAAACATTTTTAAAATAGCAGTAATCCGATATGCAAATCTGATCCGTCTGAATGTAATTTGGAATCTGTGACTTATCACTCTTTTTCAAGATGTTGCTTCTCTTCACTTGTCAGCCACAAGTAAAAAAATAAAAATAAAATAAAAAAAAAAGGCCAGGGTTAAATTCTCTGAATTGACTCGTGCCTGAAGACCTGAAGCTGTGAAATTGTTTGTACGTTTTCTAAACATTGATAATAAACTTTTTAAGAATTGCCTTAATGTCCATCTTTAATGTTCTTTGAAATGGCAAAAAAAGCATCATCTAATGTAAAAAAAAGCTACTTTGGTTATACTCCCAGGTTTCCATAAAACATTCATACCATCACTAGACACCTCATTATTTTACTCACACTGCTTATTTTTCACTATAGATAAACCCACCTGTTCTCATTTCACTCTGTTGTACTTACACACACCAACAGCTAGACTGTCAGTGGGGTTGTAAAATCTTTACAATTTGTAAAAGCTTTGTCAGTCAGATGTTTTGCAATGACCAAGATCAGGAATGACATAATGTAATGTTTGTTTCAAGTCAGTGGATTACAAGCAGCAAATACCAACATTTTCCTGTTGGATTATGTACAAAGTAATAGTTTCTGAGCCACACTAGTCCAGACTAGGCCACTGGAAGTCTTTGTTGTGTCCAGCTTCATCTGGGAAGGCTGCTCTGATGGCGTTCACCACACAAGATGGCAGAGGTTTGCAGGTGTGTCGCCCAGTGATGCCATTTGTCCATCGGATCGTCTGTCTATAAGCAACATAACGATACGGTCTGCAAAATGAAGAAGTGGAAGTGTCAGCAATGTTACAGAGTCTTTTATTTTTTAGTCTTTTATTGTTAGTAGGAAAATTTTAATGACTATTTTCAGTAGCATTTTGTCCAATATTGATGACAGTGATGCACTGTTGCTAAACTTCATACTTATGACATTAGTGGATGAATATGTTCTTACTCATTGAACTGCAGATGTAGGGGTCCATGTTGCTCCATACATGTTTGATAGGCTAGCATCAACACAAAAGGATTCAAGCAGCAGCCCTCAAATCCAGGATGGCCGGTTACACGGGAGATGTGGTACTGGTGGGTCCAGAATCAACAAGAGCTACCTGAATGGTTCCAGTTCCTGACAACAAATGCTGTGATTAATGCTGTCCATTGGCCCACACCGACACCTAATATGCAGTAAAAAAAAAAAAAAAAAGCAAATGAAATAAGAGAATGGTCATGACTGAATCTTGATAGAAAACTTTATCCCACAGAGCATTACATTATGGCCAATTACTGATATTCATACAGCACAATAAGTATGTTAAAATTTCAAATAAATTAAGTAAAGCTACAATAGGTCACTGTTTTAATTAAAGTGGAGACTTTTTGGGACATTAGATCTGCAACGTTTCATTTGTACAATCAGAATCCCAAACTCTTTGAAGAGGTTTGTGGAGGGATTATGAATAATGTCATCAGCCTAGAATCTTCTTTGCCAACAAACTTACATTACACTGGTGTCAGGAGTGGGATCCAGCAATCCAGAACCTGAAAATAGCACACCTCCCTCGTTGAGCTCAGCTGTAAACCAGCCCGTGAGCGCAGCGGCTCGACCGATTTTTATGCCTGAGAGTTTTTCCGGTGTTGGCCATGAATGGGCAGACTGGGCTGAACAATTTGAAATGGCAGCCGATGTAAATAATTGGGATGAGCCCCTTAGATTGAAGTTTATGTGTCTTCTTTTGTCTGACAAGGGTCGAGAGGTTTATAATGGCTTGTCGGGAGGTGTTAACGCTAATTATGCCTATGGGGTGCCTTTTGTAAAGTCAAACAGTCATAATCTAACAGCAATATATTTGGTTATTTAGCATATCATAAGAGAAAAAATTGGGAGTTCACTTTTTCGAAGTCATATTTTCACCATGTTATTCATACATTTATAAATGTTAGTTTCCAAATAAATATTTAGTTAGCAAGCTAAATATTTAATTTGTAGTTAAATATTTAATTTACAAACTAAATATTATCTCAATATTTAGTTTGTAAAATAAATATTTAATTCACTAACTAAATATTTAATTTACTAATTAAATATTTATTTTAGAACTAAATATTTAATTTGTAAATTAAATATTTATTTTCCGGAAAAAAAATTTAGATCCCAGCTAAATATTTATTTTGGAGCTAAACATTTAGTTTTCAAAATCAGTATTTGGGAAATAAATATTTAAGTCTGACCCGAAAATATAAAATATAGTGTGGAACATCGTGGAAAATAAATATTTAGCTGGTACTTAAACATTTAGCTAATATGCAAATTCGCTTGCCAATAAGCGGAAGTTGGTTACCAAAATAAAAGCTGGATCTCGCTAACCTCTTTATAAACTCTTGCTCCGAACCAGAACTTGTTTTATCTCCGGTTCTATTCTTTTTCAGCCAATACGTCGGACATGTTCAGAAGAATAGAACCAGAGATGAAACAAGTTCTGGTTCGGAGCAAAAGTTTATTAAGAAATTAGCGAGATCCAGCTTTTATTTTGGTAACCAACTTCCGCTTATTGGCAAGCGAATTTCTATATTAGCTAAATGTTTAAGTACCAGCTAAATATTTATTTTCCACAACGTTATTTAGCTCCACACTATATTTTATATTTTTTGATTCAGACTTAAATATTTATTTCCCAAATACTGATTTTGCAAACTAAATGTTTAGCTCCAAAATAAACAGTTATTTTTATTTATTTATTTTTTTACCGTGTCCTGTCTGGCTGTGAAGCAAGCAGAATTGATGTCTGAATGCTGGTAACAAGCCTTACAGATTTATTCTCAGGTGGAGCATCAAAGCGTCTGCTTTAAATGTCACGCCTGATACTTCAAATTTCATTGTTATTGTTTTTGAATGCTTTGTAATTCCGACCAGACACGGAGACAGAGGTGAAAGAAAAAGGAAAAGACAAATGGTGGGAAGAGAGAGAGGGGGGGGGGGGGGGGGGGGTCCACAAAAATAAACAATAATGAACAAGAGTTTGCTTCTAGACCTGCAGAAGGAGAAGAGCAGAAAAAATGGGACACACAACAATACATCAGGAGCAAGCTGTCACTGCGTCAACGTGATGATGAAATATAAAATCAACATTGTTTAACTGAACAATCACACAATAATAAATCATAGTGCATTTAGTGGCAACGACAGCCTTAAGACAAGTGTTGAACATGCCCAAGCCCATAGTTTTGAGAGCACCATGTGAGCACCTGTGTGTGTACACGCGCTTGTTTATGTAAGGTTTCTCTATAGGAGCGTCCAACAGAGAGTGTGAGGGACCACAGATCTGCCCCCAAAGATGCGTAGGAGACGGGGGGAACTTCCAAGTCCCAGAGATCCAGGCGCTGCCCCAGAACACAGGAACCCCAAGGGGACTGCAACCAGAAAGGCCCCCGCCCCCCTCGAGAGGTGCAGAGGATCGCCCCGGGGGGCCACAACCAGCAGCCGGCAGAGTCCCGGGAGATATCAGCGGCAAGCCCACAGGCCCGCCCACCACCTCCCACCCCCTAGCCAGCCGAGCCCGGGACCCAGGGGCGACCACCCCCGTCGGGGACCCAGCAGAGCCCAGGGACTCAGACCCCACCAGGCAGCCACCGGGACTGACCAGGCAGATGCCAAAATCTTAAACCCCCTGACCCGGTTGCCACGAACACTCAGGCAGACCAAGGCACCACACCCCACACCAGGTGTGGCAGAGGGAGGGGAGACGAAGATCTATATCATCAAAGGAGGTCCCAGGAGAGGTGAGGAGTCAAAGGCCCCACCTGACATATACAGTCATACACAAACACAGTCACACACTCCCTCCCTCATGCTCACAAATACACATACAACCAAAGACTTACAAAAATGCACGCCGGACACCCACTCATCCTCCCCATACACACCCTATTCACTCTGGTCCCGGTACTGCTGGACACTGGGTACAACCATCACCGGTTACCAGAGTTTGACCCTTTCTGCTGGGGTGCTGATGAGCAGGCTCCCCCGCACAACGACGAGCACAGCAACCCACCACCCCAGACCCCAACCAGACGGCCAGATCTCCCTCCTAGTCTCCAGCCCCAGGAAGCCAAGCAACAACAGAGGTGTGCTAAGACCCCCTAGTCTCCCTCTGCCTGCTCCATTATAGTGTTGTGTGTTGATGAGGTGTATTGCATGGCTGTGGTGAGCGGGCAGTGCAGGCGTTGTCTTGCCTATGCCAGCGGATGCCACCGCACCACCCCACTTGCACCCACAGCCCTCAGTGTCTAAGTGCAGTTTAAAATTGGAAGTGGGCACCGGCACTCGGGAGGAGGCTGAGAAATCCCCCTGCCAAGTGCCGTTGAATGTGCTCACTCCCAAGGCCCTAAGTGTGTGTTTGCGTGGAATGTCGTCGGTGGAAGTGTATAAGGTGCAAATAAAATTGGGGAGCAGGTTGCCACAGGAATGCAGAAATGGGGTCCATACTGGCACTCCCTGACTTGTCCACCCCCAAGGTCCTATGTGCATGTTTGTGTGATCATGTGAGGGAGCAGGAGGAGAGAAATATGCAGGGATGAGGAGGAATGGCTGGTTGGCTTAGCCCTCCAGGGAGCCAGCTCCCCCACTGGTCCCAATAGGCACCTCTGATGTCAAATTGCCACCAAGGGCGTGGAGACCCCAGCCCATCCTGCCAGGGCCCAAAGCAGCAGCATTACAGAGCCTCACGGAGTCCGAGGGCACCACCCCAGCCCCACCCCAGCAGAATATCTATGCCCATCCCTGCATTTGCACAACTTCCAGAATATATAAGACATAGGACATCCAGGTAAGGTTGGGTCCTCCCCCTCCTGGACCTCCCCCTCCCCTGTGATGGGACAGCAGAGGAGCCAAGGTCTACCCGAGGCCCCTGAACCCGGACCAGGCACTGCTGCATGTTCCTGCCTTCTTCCCGGCAGCATACATGTCAGGACCCGACCCCCAAGGCCCCGTCCAAAACCCCACACGGGGCATGCCACCCCCACGCCCCGAGCCCCCAGGCCCCCACCCAGACCTGCCCAGGGGCAATGCAGCTGCCAGGCAGTGACCCATGACCGCCGCCAAGACCTCCAAGGGGCCCCACTCACAACCTCCAATAGTCCACCCCCCGAGGCAACCCAAGCACCTCCAGAGGGGGGCAATGGCTCCCCAGTCCCAGACACCCCCCAGTGAACCCACCTCC